TGTACTTTATTGATGAAAGGAAAATTTAAGCTGCTGGAATAATGTTTAAGTCTCTCAAGTAACTAGCAGGCAGAGGTATATCATAAAAAGGTTCAAAGAGGTAGGGGAAGTGGGAGGGGAAGGGGAAAGGAAAGAAAGGAAAGGAAAAATTATAAGAAAAGGAAAAAGTGGAAACAAAGTCTTTGTAAATAGGGAAGGGTGGAGTGGGTGAAGGGAGGAGAGGGAATGGGGAAAAAATAAGAACCAAGATACATCATGTACAGGTACAAGCACCAATGATAAATGTAAATGTATACCTACAATGTACCAATAAAAGAATTTAAGGAAAAAAAGAATAAAAATTTATGTTTTTAAAAATAATATACAGTGGAGTACTGCTCTGACATAAAGGATAGACTTGAGTCATTTGTAGAATGAATGAACATTGAGACCATAATGCTAAGTGAAATTAATTAGACACATAGACTTAAATATTACATAGTTTATCTTATATGAGGTCAAAATATAAATAGAGTAAAGGGCAATGTATCCCTGGTACCAAAAAACAAAACAAAACAAAACAAAACAAAAACAATAACAAAAAAAGGGCCAGGGATTTAGCTCAGTGGTTTCGCTGCCTGCTGTGCAAGCACAAGGACCCGAGTTCGATCCCCTGTACCACAAAAACAAAAAAGGGGGCAAAGTAGTAGACATATAATAAGAAAAAGGGAGATAGATCTTTTCCAAAAGGGAAGGGAACCAAGCAATGGAGGGAGGGGAAAGGGGTGAAAAATGCTTTAAGATGTGTTACGTCCATGCACCAACTCCGCACAAAGAATGTAATCATTATGTCCTGCAAACATGTACTAATAAAAATAAAAATTTAAAAAATAAAATAGACGAGTGACTTTGAGGAAGACATACCTAATTTTCTCCACTATTGTGTATTTATGTTCCACATAGTATGAAAGTTGCTAACAGAATGTTCTTTGCTCTTAAACATGTAGATTTACTTTATACATTTTTCCTAAATTTTCCATTATATTTCATAAGACCCTGGACATTCAGGTGTATGTAGATGTTCAAGCATTCATAATTCAAAATATAGCTAAAGGATATTTGAATATATCCACACCATAGGAATTCATTATGGAGTAAAATGACAATTGAGTTGGATGGGCTCTTCAGGTGTGTGTCGTGAATGGAGAAACTTGTGCAAAGACTGGGACATTTTAAAACAATTGGGTTTCTTATTCCTAGTGATTCTGGCATCTATTTTAAATAGTAAAAAAGAAGTTCTAGGTCTCATTATTAAGTCCAATTCTAATGGCTGGAAAAGAGAGAAGTTTTGGTACTTATATACTAAGTACAAGATTTCCTAAAAATTCATGATATAGATACAAATATTTCAATAGTTTAAGTCCATAACTACATTTTAAAAGTTGATATAAAATACATTAACAAAAATCCTATGCTCTCAAAATGGTTCAGAATATCCAGATTAAGATTCCAACTTAAATGTATAGTAGTTACTCATGTTTATGCACACTTAAAAATTTTCTCACCGTTAGTGCTTTTCTGATTGGCTTACTTTAGAATATTCTGATTTGATACAATTTGTTGTGAATACAAACTCAGAATGCTAATTACATTGTAGTTTTCCAGATTTAAAGTTTCTGTAGATCATTAGAAGGAACATATTCCTTTAAATATTTTAGATTCAGCCATGTTTGTCTTGTCACTATTGCCTTGTAAGTGAAGGCATTTTTTAATGCAAGAAGGCAGTGTTAGATATAATGGGAAACAAAAATTATGCTTAAGAAAGTATAATACTTTTAGATAAAGAGATTTCTATAGTACCAACAATGTCCTTGTTGATAAGTTTTATCCTGGCTGGCATTTTATGTTCTAAGTGTTAGGTTTAAGAAATAAAACACTTTGATATCCTCAAATAGGAAAGCAAGTGATATCTGAATTTCTCCTGAGATTATGCATCTTTTTTTCATTATATTTTTGTTTAGTTTTGACAGGATTGACTTAAAAAACATTGAAAAACATTTGAAATAAGATTTGTAAAATATAGAAAAATTCAGTGGAGTATTTCATATACATATTGAGACAATGAAGTTTATCATTACTTTAAACCTTCCAGCTAATTCTCAAGGAACACAAACAACGTATCTTGCTCTACTTTTTTTTTTATGCAAACCACTTTTATTTGTTTTGAAGATTAGCAAAGACCAAAAAAGCATGAAAGTGGAGAGATTCATAGTTATCATTTCAATAGTGTTTGAACTGAGTTATGGTTAGTGAATGAAATTTAATAAGATTGAGAGTAAATTCATTAGCTTTTATCATGGGTGGTCAGGAAAATTCTATTTTAAGATGTAATTTAGTTAAGCTGGAGAAGAAAATGTTGTGAGAAATGCACGCTGCCTGCCTGTAAGGGTGGTTTGAATGAATTGGAATACTTCAAGGAGCAATGGAGCTATGCATGAAAGGCAGAAGACAAACTTCATACTTTATTTTTAATTTTTTTTTTGCAGTGCTGGGAATCAAACCCAGTCTCCCACATGGTAGGCAAGTGCTCTACCACTGAGATACATCCTCAGCTCTAAACATTATGCTTTAAAATGTGTCAGTCTATCCTGGAATATTGATGTTATACATTTATACATCTCTATATAAATACATATAATGTGAAGTTCTACTTTCAACAAGGAAAAAGATAATGCAGTTTTTGTCTGTCTTACACTGCTGCCAGAATGTGAGGATGTCTTCTATAACCGAGTGCCTTGGATTATATCTTAGTCTGCTTGGTGTTGTGCTAAAAAATATTGTTGATTCATTTATTAACCATTCTGATTTAGGATTTTAGAAGCATGTATAAAGATATTGCAGGGCTGGGGATTTAGCTCAGTGACACCACGCCTGCCTCCCAAGCCCAAGGTCCTGAGTTCGATCCCCGGTACCCCCCAAAAAAATATATCTACTTTTTTTTAATGGTTTTAATTCATAGACACCAAATGAAGGTACATCTAACTTTTGGGTAGATAGTCTTCAAAATAAATAGAGTACATAGTAACAAATTTTCTCAGTTATGGCATTTGTTTATAATGCCAAACATTGTATTTTCCCTTTGATTTAAATTACTTAAAAAAAAAGGAGAATTTGGTCTTTTCTTAGCAAAAACTGCTGTACATTTATTATGTTTTAAAAAGTTGTTTTTAAAATCCACAGTTAGATAAGCTAAAGTATAGAAACATTGAAAGCTTTTAATTTTAAATGGCAGTTTCTGCTTTTCATGTGAGAGTGAAGTTCAGGAAATAATATTATCTGCTGCAAAAACTGGCTTATTTTTCTTATATCTGAGTTAATTGCTTACTATGTATACTTTTCTCTATAAATAATTTGATACACTAAATTTTCATTTAGTGCATCTGACCAACAATTAAAATATCTAAAAAGCGTTCTGAAACATATTTAAAGTAACTTATAAAATAGCAAAATTGAAAAAGAATCAAAGTGTGCTTTAATTTAACTAAGTTCTCACCTAATAACATGCATGAAACAAACTAACATCTCATTATAATTGAAATAATCTCATGGTATTATTGAAAAATTATAAGTAAAAAATTCATCAAATATTATTCCGATCTTGGGAATGACTTGTATTTTGAATACATTTGTTCAGACATATTAAAACATTCTTTTCTCTATATAATTTATTTATTTATATAATTTAGAATTAAAACCTTCTTTCCTTATAGGTGAAGATAGTTTGAACTCATATAACTGTCATGCGAAAACTAGTTTTTTAAAAAAGTCTTTCACTGCTGCATTTTTGTTTCTATTGAATTCATTTTATAAAAATGTAAATACTTTAATCACATTAAATTTTTAAGTCTCATTTTAAACTAAAGTATGAATATCTTATTGAGTTTTTTTCAGTTGTATCAAAACATCAGATGTAATCACCCAGAGTTGAATAAACAGCTATTAAAATCTAACCAAAATGAAAACGCTGGCTTGAATTTTTCATTGTTTGCTAATAATTAAAAATACATCACTAAAACACTTATTTAAAAACTAAAATGTTTTCAGCATTTCCATCTGCATTTCTAGAGAAATAAAGCTTGTAAAAAGTAATTCGTCTTTGCAACATCTCTAAAACCATTTGTTTTTAACTTTCCATAGAGGGAAATTTAATATTCTAAACAACTGAATTTAATATTTAAACAATTAGTCTTATTTTAATCTTCCATTTAAAAATATTTCTCATTATATATGTTAGTGCTATAGTGTTCTACATGGAATATTTTACTAACATGAGAAAAATTTCCACTGAATTGTCTGATTACTTTCCTTTTTTTGTAACTACAGTATGATAAAATAGTTTCATATCTCAAACTATTGATCTTTATTATTGTCATCATTTTCTTATTATCCTTTTATAAAATTTACTGTGCAAATCTTGCTTTTGTACCATTTAACATCGCTTAATTAAAAACCAAGAAATTCCAAAGTTTTCATCTATACTACTATGTGATATTATATAACATACAAACACACTGGTGGGAAAAGCTTCCACTTACATGACTTACTGTGAAAAAAGAAACATCATTTTGAGTTATATGAAATAGAATTCTCAAACTATATATTTGATATCCATTAAAAGAGTCTTAATCTGTCTCTTGACTTGACATAGAAAATCAAAATACAATTTTTTCCCACATGTCATTTTAATACAATGGCCATTTGTACAACACACACTCGTATATATTCACATATACACACACCTATGGTAAAGAAACTTCTGAATTGCATGTTAGTGTTTAAATATCTCACACTTAATCTTGTTGCTGATGAATATCTTCATGCCTAAGAATTTTATAGATAACCCAGTAGAAAATGTTAAAAATCAAAAAAGCTAATGGGAAGCAGGCTCTGGAGATGGTGTCAATCTTCTTGGCCCGGTCAATAAAGACCTTCCTCGTTTCATCAGGGCTTTTTGGCATTACCTGGACAGGATGGTTTGGACCTTTTGGAGTTACACCATCTTTTGCTTGTAGACATGGTCCCATTCCATAGGCTGTGAAGCTGAATCGACTTTCTCTTATCTCATCATCCTGTCAAAGAAAATATAAGAAAACTTTTTAGTAATGGAATAGAGCATGTATAGCAGGCATTTCAGAATCATAACTTAAGTTTTGTCATGGACGTGTTTACACTAATATAAAGGAAAGATAACTTAAGCATCTGTAGATGAGCTGCTTTTTTCCCTGTAAAGTTTATTTATCCTGCATCATATAGATATTCAATTAATAAATATGAAGCTCTTGAAAGATATGTTTTAATGGAAAACTAAAGTTTGATATTATCTACATACTGGTTGAATATTTAAATAAAGAGTTAAAGAAAAAAAGCTATTGGGATATTGTACTATATATGTTCATATACTGGATATTTTTTACATTACTTGTCTAAATGTACAAAAATGTTATGTCAGAGGGGAAAAGTACCAGGACCATTGCCTGAATTTTTTTTTATCATGGAGACAAGCTTTTAATACTTGTTTCCTACAATTCTAAGTTACTTCCTTAGAAAACACAGTCTAGCACAATAACACAGCTTGGTTTTTGTTATTCTTACTTTATGCTACTCCTGTTTTACGCTAACTCTTTTGAAAGATCTATACATTCTTATTTACATATAGTTTATTTTCAGATACATTGGTTTGGTCAAAATAGAAATTAGACAATTTATTTCATATTAAAAAATAAACTTGCTATAAACTATTCACACTATTATGTTCTTCTAAGAGGAATAATTACTTTTAAGCATGAGAAAATGAATAAGAATTTTCCCTAAATGTCAAAAATTTAAAAAGAACATTATTTAATAAATATATAATAAGATATGCTTATAGTAGTGAAATAGGATATTTAAAAATTTATAATGAAATTCATTAGTGAATAATTTCAGGCATTTATTTAAATGTGACGGTAGATAACTACCAATAAAAAGGATTTATTTGCTCAGAAAATTGAAAGATAATGATATATTTTATAAAGTTATACCTCTCCTATTATAATATTGTTTTATAGTAACATAAAAGATAAAAATAACTGGCCCAAATGCTTGAAAATTATGTAAGGTCTGTGAAAGTAGCAGTTCAATCAGCAGTATAGTCTAAGTATGAAAGTGAAAAAGTTATTGCTATAGATTCTAAAAGTGAGAAAATAAAGCAGATTCAGTGATATATAAAATAGTTTTTAAAAATTATGAATGTAAGGTAATTCCACCTGAAAAAAACAAAGCATGTAATTATTGAAAAACATTTCAATCAAAAAGTGCATATAAGCAATTGAAATTTGGGGGAAAAAGCCTGAAATGAGTTGAAAACTAAAATTACCTGAAAACAAAGCTACCATCCCAAATCACATGTGACTATTATTGTAATCTGACAAAAATTGCAAATCAATTTTCCAATATTCTTTAGTAAGCCTGTTCATTTAGATTGCTGTTTCTTTGGCTTTCATGAAAATTTTACACCAAACTTATTGTTCATGCTGACATTTTCTGTGTCTTGAATAAGTGTACATATTAGAGACTAATCTGTTCTTACGTGAGTGCCAAAATAACATATTTATAATTTAATAAATTATGCTGATGTTTGTGTTGCAGAAAGGAAATGTAAGTCACCTAGGTAATTTGTGTGTGAAAATCAGCTGAATATTGACCTATAATACAGAATTTTTAACTATATTAACCCATGTGTTTAAAAATTCCATCTTAAAATAGGACAAAAGGTATCTTAGTCAGCATTTACATATGTTGCTATGTTAGTTGAAGCAGTTGGAAAATGCATGCCAAAATACTAAGATTTCAGCATTCTACCTTCTATATCTGGTGTACCTTTCTAACCATTTGTTCTGGAGAACTTACTTTAAAACCATTAGAGACCACAGCTGCTTATCTCAAAGCAGAGAGAATCCATTTAAAATTAACATATTTCGTACACAACTAAAACTTTGGCAGTTGTATCTTTCTATATAACTGACTTGCATAAAGAGTTAACATCAGGACTAGGCTACTATGGGACTGCTTAGAATGACCTCCAAATGCTATAGCATCATTTCCTTGAAAACAATAGAATTAAGCTAAGGGGAATTGGGGCCTGCCACTGGGAAGGGCTGCACCAGCAAGGGGCATGTGGAGCTGCACATAGGCCTATAGATATTTGTCCCACACGTCTGGACAGTATACACATTCAATTCAAAGCAAAGGCTGTGACTTCTCTGTGTCAAGGCAATCACACACTCCTTGACTTTTATGCCTGCATGTCCTGTGGGTGAGGGGGTAAAAGATGCGGTGCTCTTGGGAAACTGCCAAATCCCCCATGCCATGAAGACACTGTGTCCTGACTTGTTTCCTACAGCATATCTTCCTCTCGGGCTGAATAAATGTAATACGAGGTTAAAGCCTTTTGGTGTCTAGAGACTGAGTGACAATTTGAATCCTAGATCTCAGAAGTAGACAGAAGAGGTCAGGATTTAGGATCTGTTTTTTGACTCAAGATGGCCAGAAATTTTGGGTGAGAGTTCAGGTGAGAATCTGATGATGATCTATGCTAGATTAAAGGTAGTAAAAACTGTAGAAAATAATGACATAAATCTTGCCATTGGAATATTGATAACATAGATTTGTTCCCTGCTGGAGTGTCAGATGGATGGTCAGTAAGAAAAAATTCAAGAGAAAGTGGCTCAAGAAGGAATTAATTCTCATTCCCTGTTAGTCAGTTCTCATGAAACTGAAATTGTATGGAGGGAAGAAAAACAGCAAGTAAAGCAGCTTCATGACCTATGCCCAAGATAAAAACAGAAGCCCGGTTGGGACTTGAAAAAACATTATATTTAATCTTGGTGCCCCCAGGCAAATAACACTAGGAACCACTATCTTTAGTGCAGCTTCATCCCATAAAAATATGTGAGCTACAAATGAAAGGTGTAATTTTAAAATTTATATTTTTGTAAGTTATAAGAGACAGGTGAAATTATTTTAATTTAAAAAATTTAACTTGATATGTTCAAAATATTATTTCAATATTTGTTCAAAATAAAAATTGAGATGGTTTACATTTGTTATTTCTTACTAAGTCCTTGAAATCTGGTATGCACTTTATGTGTACAGTACATATCGATTCAGACTTTACTTTTCTAGTCCTCATAGCCACATGTGGCTAGTAGCTATGTAATTGGATGAAACGATTATAGTACAAAGAACCTGGTTTACTTTGTTGTGAAGTGCTGGCAGATGTCTAGGCAATCCATACTTTCTGGAAACTTTAGTCTAGTTGATCTAGAAGCTAATAATATATTTTTGGATGCTTTATCATGGAAGTAGTATTGCTCAGGCTGTCCTCATATTTGTAATCCTCCTGCTTCAGCTTCCCAAGAGTGTTGGGATTATAGGTGCCCTACTGGAATGCCTTTTTAGAAAAGTTGATGTGTTATATGTAGTAGCAAACCTGGGCTGGCCATATAATAATCAGAAATGAGCTGACCCAAACCATATCCTCTCACCTCAACTCTGGTACACAAACTATGGTTACAGGAGTCCCTTAGGTACGTAGCCCTTGTCTTGGGAAAGCCAGAGGGCAAATACATTCCTGGTCACATTCACTCTTACAGTACCCATGCTGAGTTTCACTGATGGGAAGAAAATTTGGACTACTAAGAAGAAAAATGATGGCCAGGGGTAAATTCTATTAGTTCTCCTTAGGTGGCTGTTAAGACACAAAAAGAACACAGTGAAAACGGACGGGATTCCTGTGAGCAATTTCCTGGCGCATTTATTGCCAGCTGGGAGGTCGGAAGTCTGCTTCAATTTCAGCAGCTGCCTCCCCTAAGGAGTCCTGTTAGATCTGCTCCTTTCATCTCAGAAGTTAAATCCAATGGTGCCAGTGGGGAATGGGAACAAAAGGCACTGACACAGGTTGCTAAATTTACTCCTTCAGCTAAAGTGTTTGAAACTAAAAAGACTGACTTGAAGACCATGATCTCGTCTATTTTGAGAAGGACTCCAAGGTCATACCATGGTTAAAGTTGAATCACCAAGATTAGTAAAGAGTTTTTTGGAATTACCAGATGCCAGTAGAAAACATGATAAAATTGTTAAGGAATAAGATTGTAATATAAGAGAAGCTGGTCAGGCAGGAAAGAGGCAAAGTGATTAGCTATGAGAGTAGGTGTCAGGGCCATTCCAAAAAGTACAGATAGGAGAAAAAGTATGGTATTGCTGCAGGTGGTATTGCCTTTGGCTAAATGTACAACTGGAAAGGATGAGACATAATGGAAATATCTTGCCATTTCTGGCTTGAAATTAATCGCTGGCAAGTCATTCTTTAGGCCAGTTTTAATTGGATGTTTTAAAAAAGAGAGCCTTTAGAACCACCTAATCTTTATCTGCAGTAAATATTGAGCAGTGTAAGAGTACAGGAAGAAAATGGAAACTCTCAGCTCTGATGAAAAAAATTATAGTGCAGAAGTATATAGCTTCATCATTTCTTTCTAGAATACTGTCTCTGGCTTATGGTAAAACTAGATGGATCCTAACTAATAAATATGTTTTAAAAATCTAGATGGGGGCTGGGGATTTAGCTCAGTGGGGCCACGCCTGCTTCACAAGCTCAAGGTCCTGAGTTTGATCCCCAGTACTGGAAAAACAAAACAAAACAAAAAACCCCAAAAATCTAGATGGATTTTTCAGGCAGACTGCTGAATATCTGTGCTCAATAAAAAAATTCTGCCAATGGTACTCACCAGGCTGGATGCAGTTTCATCCTGACAGGGAGGCAGAGGGAATTTGAAAGACTTGACTGATGTTTCTTATGTTTTCTTTTTAATTGCAGTCTTTAAAGTGTGCCTTCTTGTGGAGCAGATGCATTTATATTTTTCCTTCCTGCCCTAAGGGAAACTGCCTGCTACAGTACACTGGCACCACCTGATAAGGAGTGATGTGGTGCAGGTCGCTCTCAGAAGTAAACTGACGGCACTATGAGTGATCAATGACAGCTCACTCTCTTAGGAGAAAGGGACGATTTGGAGCCTTCATGACATAAGTGATT